TGCGCGGGACACGTTGCAGCCCCTCAATGTCCTTCTAGTCATGAGCGGCCCAAAGCTGAACACAGTACGCCAGGTGCGGCGTCACCAGTGCCGAGTACAGGGGCATGAACTTCCCAAAAACGCTACAAAGAACAATCTCTGTTCTGTTCCTTAAAGACGTGGGCACTCTGACAGCAGACCTTAAGTCCTACAGGGAGCTCACATCAGTAGCAGCTAGAGCTCATTGTTTCTATATGAAGACTACACTATACTTCATACAAAAACATGACCTACCAGCTTCAGCACCGACCTGCAGGTTTCCCAGGCTGGCACCCATCGCCTGCCCGCAGTTTAGCAGGTCGATACATGCCTAGGAGTACGTGGGCTTCAGGAAGCTGAAGAGATGGCGTTGTCCTCGCAGTAGGAAGGCTGCGTTTTCAATCACTATAGAGGCTTCCTGCTAGCTCTTTTGAGACTTACAGCGAAGGAAGCTCTTGGCAGCCTAAGGAGGACAGATTACTGCCCATCCAGTCCACCAGTTCTGTAGTAAACCTGTTTGGTTTAGTATGGCGAATAGTGGCTGCCACAAATTGGGACTGCTTTTCTCTGCTGGGGAGGAGGAAATGTTTTGCATAATTGAAATACTTCTTAGTAGGGAAGGAGAGTTCAAAATCCATTTCAAGCTCACGTGGACCCAAAGTATGCAGAGTGCTCTGCTCAGAATTCTGAGGCCTTTTTAAAACAAGCCCACTGAGGTTATTTCACTTCTGATCACCACACTCAGTCTCACAATAATCAAAGCCTGTTATCTGGAGTCTTGCAATATCATGACTCACCAGCTAATGATGACAGTGTCTCGCACACGCATCAGTTGTTGCTTTATAAGATATGGAAATCGTGAACTCCCAGTACAATTTAAGCTTCAACATTTCTTTTCCCATTTTCATTAATTTGCCTGCAGATTAACTCTTAAACTACAGTGTCTTCTCCCTGACAATGTCAAGAAGTGGCAGACATCTCTCAGCTCTTATATGCTACTTTCCTGTAATATAAAGTTGTCCAAGGACTCCCCAAGGTGCAGTAAGAGGGCTGAAAATGTCTGATGAAATGATTGTTGTCCCCACAACCAGGAACAAAGTGTGTTCATTTGAAGAAGAGAAAAAGACAATAAAGGAAAATGAAAGTAATATATAAAGGTTTGGGCCCAGTTTTGGCTTGTTTGCAGAAAACCAGTGGTGTCTATGGATGAAGGAGAGGGGAAACGTGAGTTTCCCAAACTCTATTCTGTGTTTCCAGAGCATACCCTTGTCCTTTCCCGTTCACAGGCTGCTTCCCGCAGTCCTCTGGGCCTGTGCGCTGGCGGGTACCTTAAAATAGCCTCAGACTTGGCAGATGTTGTGTGCATAGAAGCAGCCAGACATCGGCCAAACATGTGGCACCCGCACAGGCTGCCACTGCTGTGGTCTGTGTGTGTGGACTGGGTAAAGCACGTTGAGCAGGCTACGGGGTGCAGGATTTGTTTCTTCTGGCCTCAGCTGTCTAAAAGTTGGCTGTCTCAAGCTAAGCTAATGATGTGGTCTTTCTCTACAATCAGTAGAGAGCAACATGCACCTCCAGAGGATAACTGCTCCCAGATACCTTAGGTGCCTATCTTGGGATGGCATGAATTGCTCTCTAGAGGTGCTGCCTCTTCTCCACTGACTGTGAAGGGAACACAGGTGGCTGACCTAAGCTTCAGCAACTAACTTTTATGTGGCTGAATTGGGGGATATAGACTGCTACGTGGAGGACCTCCATAAAAGGTAGCAGAGTCAAGAAGATCGTATGAGCAGTTGCAAGGTAAGAGGTCCCCGAGTTCAACCTGAGCTTTACAGCTGATTTGCTGCGTGATCCAGTGGTAGCAGTGGTGGTGCTGGCGGCATCCTTCTGCTGGAGAACACCAATCTGATTGTGCTTTTTTATTTTTCTCCACCCCTGAAGGTCGGCACTGTGAGGTCCATCAGATGATTGGAAACTACATGTGGGACCAAAAAACAAATGTATCTTTCGATATTGGTGTGAATAAAGAAAGCCTGCTGCCTCTCTGGTGGAATGGATCAGAGCCATTATGGGTCACAATGATGAAAGCGAAAAAGAACGTTTACATGTACTACTGGCCAGGTTAGTATGTCAAAAATTGCTACCATCTTAATGGTGCATCTTTACAAGTAAGAACTCCATACTCTGTAGGATGGCTTTTTAGTACACTGAAATACAGACAAGAATTATTAATGCTTTAGTAATTACTCATAGAAATTAAATATCTTTTCTTAAGCTGTGACAATTTGCATGTGCTTAGAAAGGAAAAGACTGAAGTGTCACTGGAGGCAGCTTTCCACCAAACATTACTTTCAGGGAGGTGCTGGCTTGCAGAGCATCCCCTCCTCCACCAACTGCTCGTTCTGCTTGCCCACCTGTACCTTCTGCTGTGCCAAATGGTTGCTCCATGAATGGTTCATGGAGCAACACTGTAGACCATGTCACTGATCATAGTTAAACAGTAACCATCCTCCCCCAGTGCTTGTTTGGTTTTAACCTGGAAATTAGTGGCTGAGACCCGAAGACGATATACTCTGTGGGGACAGCAAAACCCAGCTGAAAGCAAACCATCCTTTGGTGAGCTGGAGCGAGCACTCTTGTCCTCCTTCACTGTTAACTCAGTTGAGGTCCCAGTTGCTCTGAGACATTCATTTGGAGGGACTTGGCCTTTCCATTCCTGGTTTGTTGGGCACTGGACCACTGAAATCACTCGGGATGTATAATAACAAGTCTTTTTTTAACAAATAGGAGTATACTTTTAGGCTGTCCATTTCGGGACCCACATGGAAATAGATGTTCCAGCTGTGCAGCCAGCAGGAAATCCCTTGAAAGGTACCCAGCTTCTCAACTTTTTCATCTTTTAACTGCTACCTAAGCAGTATGCAAATATCCTCATATGTGTAACTACAGGCTAGAGGACCACGTGTTAGAAGAGCTGTACTGAATACAGCCAGTGCCAGTGGGTCAGGCGGCGGCAGCTGACTCACGCCGTGGGCTCCCGGCCAGCTCGTCTTCTGCATCCCAACGCTCATGTGCCTGGTCACGATCTTCCCATGCAACGTGGCTGGTGGCGTCCCAGAAAAAAGGCCACAATTCTCAGGAAAGAGAAGAAAGAGCAAACCAAGATGAAAAACATTGAAAAGCCATCCAGAGCATTTCTACTCTGAAGAGCGAAAAGATATGGGAGTGACAATGTCGCCTTACAGACTCAAAGGCAGTCCAGTGGACTGGTATTGCAGACTGCGTGTAGAGGTTTGGATCATCCCTCAAAAAAAAGGCTCTCCTTATTGGAGGTCACCCAAGTGGCCTAACAGCAATTCAAATAGTAAGATATGGAAATTATACAAGAAGTTAGAAATTGTTCTAAAAATTTACAAAAAGGCCTGTTTCAATAGACAATTCATTTCTGACTACTAATGTAACTGCACTGAATAAATATAATTATGTACTGAGTAGATGTAACAGTCTACAGAGAGCTACTGAAATCCAGAAGAACAGTATCACTTTCCATTAAATGCCGTGGTCTTCACCCAGCTCCTTCCTGCTGCCCTTTGCACAGTGTGTGCCAGGGAGAAGACATACGAAGTGTAGATGTATATCTGTATACATATGTATACCCTGCACACTCATCTATCTGCTATTTCCAGTGGAAAACTGCAAGGAAGAGCAGAGCCTCCCTTTTCCCAGCACTTACGCTGCCAAGTGTCTGCATTGACTCTCCTGTGACAGCGGGGGAATTTCTGCCGTACTGGTACCTGTGGGACTTTTTGCGTGGATCTCGTATTTTAGATGTGGACCGTGACGTGTACATCTTCCTGTTATTAATTATGTATCTGTGACCAGCGACCTTTGGGAGAGCCATTGGTGCTTCAGTTCAGCAAACGCTTAAGCACATGCTTATTTTTTAAGGGTGTCCACAGTCTGAAGGGACACGTCTGCCATACAGGGTCAGGCACAGGGCAGGAAGCAGGGTCAAACACGGAACTGTTGAACTAAAACACGGGGCAGCTGGGCTGCAGTAGGACTCCAGGTGCAACTGGAGTAAACAGAAGTCACTCCAAATGCAGTAGTATTTATTTATTACATTTTCCCCATATGATTTTGTGGAACTGTTTCCTAGTTCCATAGTAAGGATGTAATCCTTATTTCTAGATTTATTATTTTAAAGCTTTAATTCTTTAAAAGGCATTTGACTGGGGAGTGGTGCCAAACAAAATGGAAGAAAAAATAAGGGTTTAATAACCAAGGTGGGTGAAGGTCCCACAGATGTTTTCACTGAGTAGGATCTGCTATTAGTGATTAACTTTCCAGCCTGAGGATATACTGCTGCTTAGTAACAAATCTTGCAAATCTGGTAGAGATCCAAAGAGAAGAAGTTTGGGAAACTGTTAGTAGGAAAAACAACGTACAGCCAAACTCATCGCACTTTGTTCTGGAAGGTGCTATTTTTTCTCTAGCCAGTGGTGAAGAAAACGAGACTGATCAAACATAGCAGACACGCATTGCAAATGCCAGCGAGCCGATTCCCAGGGTTAACTTGCACCGCTGCCATTTCCTCCTCAGAGCCACTTCCAAGCTCTGCAAAGTCTGAACCCAAAATCTGACACTTCGTATTCTTCCCTGTGGTCCCCTTTCATGCGTGTTCAGTGCTTAAAGGAAGAAAATCCAGACCCCAGCAAACAGGGACACAGGGCAGGAGGAGTGTCAGATGTGAACACCCATCCATCACAGCTTTATCTGTGAGCCCAACATCAACACGGCGAAGACATCTCGTGGGCAGAATTCATCGGGGCTCCCAGCCACCACTTCTGCCGAAACGTAAGCACTTGGCTTGCAGGGACATTCTTCTGCTTTCTTCACGGCGTTTATTAGGCAGTTTCTGCTCTTCGAGGCATTCCT